GTTGCCAATGTTCTACTAAATTTGTTTATTCATTGGTTCAATTATTTTTTACCGAAAATGGCTTTCTGTGTTTACAGAGATCATGTGACTATACACGTCCATACACACACTATCTTGTCGATTTCATATCCAGAGTGAAATAAGTTTTCCATCAATATATAGCTTTGTGTGGTTCAGTAAATATTTTATATGAAAATATCAGTTTAGAAAATCAATACCAAAAACGTGTACAGCATCCTTAAGTAATTGGGGTACTGTGTTACTGATTGAGGGAGGGAGGGGATGTGAGAGTTGACCTTGGTAGGTTTACGTGAACTAATCACAGAAATCATTTCTCTATTACCGTAGTCAACATAGAACACTTTATCCTGTGGATTTATTAAATAATTTAATTACTGTTTTAAAATATAATAGTGAATTTAAGTCATCAGTCAATCAGCAAAAATGTGATGATATCCTGTAGTTCGACACGCACCTTTCTGTCTAATACTTCTTCTACAATAGCTCGATACCAGTTATCGTCTTCAGGATATTTTGCACAATAAAGTTTACCAGCTTTTGGGTTGGAAACAAATTCCTCAGCACCAGTCGGCTACGGGAGAAAGATAAACAAGGTTGCTCAGATTTTCATGATGTGTTCTTTGCAATATTTTTATGTTTTTAATCAACAAAAAAACTTTACAACAGCACTTTTTCCATATTACATCAAGCAAAATGATGATAAAAAGTTCTTAAGTTTATGGTATTCAAGAGTGTGATGCGTGATACCAAGATCCCAAATTAAGTCTGATCTGACGAACAAATTGATAACCACTGAAATCAATGAGGCCTTTGTTGATCTAGGATTAGGAGCCATTGCTGAGAATGAGCTTGATGCATGGATCAACTGTGACAACAACATTGGATCAGAGACTTTCACTGAGGACAAGGTTGTAACCGAAAATCAATGAGACGACATTGAAAATGACAATAAAACATGCCACCCAATGCACCAACACCAGCAATCGATGGAATAAAGGGCAAGATGACACCAATTTCATGAAACTAATGCAGATACGGCAAACGAGTTTATTGCGAAATCAAAATAGTATCAGAAAGTCAAACAACAATGCCTGGGTCACTTCTTCAGGTAATGTACCTACGAACACTATTCCAAGACTGAAACTAAACAATCTTGACAAAAATCAACTTGTATATTCACTTCGAGGACATGTATTATTCATTATATTAGCACAATAATTAACAAAAAAAACATGATTTTCGACAATGATTCTTTTATAACAATGTAAAAAATGTACACACGTATTAAGAAAATGTAATGTATCAATAAAACATGATTTCAAAGTATCATCCATTTTACTTCATTTATTAACCAAACAAATACGTCACCACCCCCTGTTGTTTGGATAATCAAAGTTTAACTTTACCATGAACATTATCTTGTACAATAATCTCTGCCAACGATCAATTAGAAACATTAGCAACTACATGTAGGTATCTTCTTAAAGATGTCAACAAGCCAAAACGAGTTTAATGGGCTGCAAAGTTGATGACATTCCATTTACTGATGCGTGTGGAGTTGAAGTGAAGCAGTTGATGGACAAGATTATGAGAAAACGTGGTGAACCAATGGTACACAGACCAGGGATGAAACGTCCATTGCATCTAAGAACACATGTCATTTATGTTTGTTTCGTACATGTATTGATAATACCTGCGTTCATACGTCCTTTGCAAAATGCAGTGGAGGTGTGGCTATTCAAATTCAGAGAGGTAACCGACTGATTGTTAAATATTGATATAAGGGTTCTTATTTGGGCGGGCATTTCTAGACAAGGCACAAAGGAAATCAGCCTTTTTGACAGTATCGTGAACAGCTCTGGTCACCAAGACATATTACGTGATTATGCCTTGCCAATCATACGTAGATGTGAAATGGCCAAATTTCAACAAGACAATGACCCCAAACACATCTCCCGGTTTACAATAGTTTGTATGGAAGACAATGACTTGAACTGGTGGCAGACAACTCCCAGAATCTCCAGACCTCAAAGCCAATAAAAAATGTATGGTCAGCTTTCAAAAGATATACTGCCGAGTATGTGAAGCCCAGAACGAAAGATGATCTCGTAGAGACTATGAGTTCTGGTATACAGTTAGACAGGAATCTTGTAAAAGGAATTTATGAGTTCTGAGATACAATCAGTTTTTCATGCAGGAAATGTGCAACAGATACATAGACCATTTATGCGTTGTGTCGTCACCGGAAGCGCTGTCCCAGCACAAACCTGTGTCATATGACGCCTTACTAGCCGATTTTGGCTAAAATTCCGCTCCGCCGCCTCTTTACAACAGTGTTTATACGCGGAACTTGATATTGCTTTTTACAATTTGGGTTGCCTTTGAATCACATATTTTAGTGAAATATTGTTGTCATACATAATTCAATCTTTGAAACAACATAAACTAACACATAATAACGATAATCAAATTTGTGTTTGAAGTTCGAAAGTAGTTGCGTTATTTCCGGTTTCAACTAGTTCGAAAATAGAACGTCCTTGAGCGCAATAAAATCACGCGTAGAACTCCATCCGAACCAGACTCTAGCAGCGTAAACTTATTTCAATTTTGGCCCAGTTTGTTCTTACAAGTTTTCTAAGTTTCATTTATCATTATTTAGTAAACAGGTCTCTGAAACGATTTAATATATCCGTAAAATACGTGGCAATCGACGATTGACTTCGAAACGTTCGAAATTTCGAACAAACTCCCGGCACACCTAGCGCGATATGCGTCAGATCGGTGTAGAAGACGCCGAACTGCAGCGTCAATGCCATTTATGCTGAATAGCTTTAGTAATCATATACTATAAAACACAGTTCAATAAAACAATCCTAGAAATGTATCCATCGATTTTATATTGACGAACGAATGTGTCAAAACAACAAACTGACTAGTCGCAAGCTACAATATGAATTTGGCTAAATTTTGTAGTAAATGCTTTGATTACTACAATTAATCGCGAGTGCAATAAATTAGGATGGGTTAAGTTCGCATCTAGATACTGTCATCTTGTTAAAGATGTCAACAAGCGAGTAGAATGGGCTGCAAAGATGCTGGCATATGAAGAACAGTTTGATGACGTTTTATTGACTGATCAGTACAAGGTTGAATTGAAGTGGTGCATGGACAAGATTATGAGAAAACGCAACGCAATTTCAACACTCTGCATCGACAGCCCGGTATTAATCTTGATTTGCGCAAAATGTCTTGTTTGAAGGAAGAAGTTGAAGATGAGCTGGCCCCTCCCTCGCATCTTTGGCTGGTGTTAACAAGGTTTTCCATGTTGAAAAAGCTCATTATAATTGCTAGTAAGTGGTGTTTTGATAACTTTAAAAAAACAATGCCCCACACAGCGTCAGGAAAAACGAAGGATCGCAAGTTCACCAGAATATTGCGTGACAAGTTTCTACTCTTCTAATGAGTTAAAATTCAAAAACTTGACTACACGCTGTAGTTGCAAAATCCAAATTTGTCTGTCCAGGAACGGAACAGTGGACGACAAATCCTTCATGACATTTTCGTCAAGTTTTTGTACAGCGCTGCCATGCCGCTGTCACTCGTCTGGTTGAATCACATAATCGATCATTGAGCTATTCCTTTTCTGATGTTAAAAAAGTCTTCTTTGATTTTTCACCGGACAAACAGAAATGTAACACCGGTCAAATTGTCTGCTGTGAACAATATCAGTAGTAGTTATAGTAATGTCCTGGTCTGCTTCACCTTGAAATGAAACAGGGTCGTCCCTTGACCCTTGCAAGTATCGCTACATTTATAACATTTGTCACACTGTTAGGAATTGTTTCAAAACACACAGGGAAACACAGTGCAAGCAGAAAAGAGACACACTTGGCAAGAACAAAAAGAGTAACGATCCATCTACTTCAACATGACTGAGCCATATTAGTCATGTCTTTTATGGATGGATTTCGTTCAAATTTGGCAGCAACAGTTTTACAGCAGGACATCAACTTTCGTTACCAACTGATTAATGGTTTGCTGGACCGCTGTATGGTAATTTTTAACACCACGTTTCGTCCAAGGTTGATGCAGCGAGTCAGAGTCGCAATTCAGTAAGTATTGAAGACTTCAACTCGGTAAGTATAGCTAGGTCGCAGGTATCCCTGGTGCAATAAAAGTGGGAATGGTAAGTTCTTGGATCCCGAAGATGTTCTACAGGTGATGATGCGAAATCAGCCAAGCGGTAAGACTGTCCCACGAGGAGTTAAGTAGGATGTGTATTTTTTATTAAATAAAGAAGAAAACATTTCATGTAACGAAAAGAACAAGAAATCGGTTTATTGAGATGAGTGTGGGTGTCAAAATCATCGAAAGTTCACCAATACATAATTTCGAATGGACAAGGATTGATATACGTTGACTTAAAAGATGGATTATATTGCAGAGATGTTAAACGAAAGCGTGTACCAATAAAACAGCCAATGAAATAAGATATCATTGCATTTAGACGTTATTATTTATCTTTAAAACGAGAACCGTGCTACAAGAAACGTATCAACACTGTTTCAAAATGTCTCTCCAGTATGTTAAGTATAACTCAATTAACTCTTATGGAGTACATTGTATGTAGGTTTCTTTCTAGACAATATAACACCATATGGGAACACCAAGAAGACGGCCGAAGAATACGTAAGATCATCTGCCACAGTTAAGAAAGAGATAAAAGACTTCCGGCGAGACGATATCCAGTGAAGTTCCACACCACCTGTACATGAAAGATCATCGCAAGCAATTCAGGAAAACCACAATCAGTTATATGCTATCCAGACAACGATTTCAAAGACATAAGCCAGTTCTGCATATGTGACAATTGCAGTGTACCACCATCAGAATATTATACTAAGATCAACCCGGAATCACCCTATTATGTTAGCCACTACATTTCTACACTGGGATGGCACCTACGACAGTTACTACCAATTCTTTTCTCATCTCTGACTAAAATTATCAGATAAAATCAAAGGCACACAGTTTGCAAATCTTGTTATTGGGTCGGACGAAGAGGCCGCTCTTACCAAAGCCGACTGCTTTTCATCGCCACATCAAGTATTATGCTGCAGACATCTACAAGAAAACGCTCAAAACGAAAGTTCAAAAAGACACGCTAAACAATATGTTTGGATCAACGGGACCTATTAAATGCGAAACCAAAGAAAAATTTGACCTGAAATTAACAGAACTGTTAGACAAGTATAATTTATCTTTGATGGCATTCGTTCCATTCATAAATTATTAGACAAGTTCAGACACCAATTTTACGGCCGAGACTAACGAACAAATGGGTGATTGGAAAAACAACTTGTGGGAGAGCATGAATAATATTTGGAACTTCGCAGTAATTGGAAGACGTTGAAACTCCCCGACTTAGTTGACATATTACACAAGATCGCAAAGGTACAGCAATTGGATATTAGACGCGCACTTCATGGTCAAGGGAACTACGAACTCACACCTTGGATGGCAAAGTGAAACGTGCCGTATGGACCCAGAAAACGGAAGAAGAGAAGCAACAACTGTTTCAGGAGTTTGTAAAAGGTTATATACGAAGAAAGAGACAGTATTAAACATCAACTGGCGGAGGGCTCACAATACCGAAAATCAGGTCAACGAAAACGAGTTACGAATTCAAAAACAAGGACATTGGCACCAGGGCTTTAACATCATGTAAGGTATGTTATTGACTAATTTTCGTTTTAGTTGACTTGTACTTTGACTTATTTTGATTAAAAATATTTTCCACAAAGGTGTCTGTCTATTTATCTATTTAGAGAACTG